ACAAACAAAAACTTACCCAAAAATTGATGTATGTATGTATATGCAGATATAGTTATATAGATATTGTCGATATATCTATTAGCTTTCAGGTCACTTTTGCTGTTTGCAGCTTTTTATTTTGATTTTGATTATAATTTACTTTTTAGCTGTACGTCTCAACGAATAGATTTCTAATATTTGCATTTAGATGTTCGATTATTCAAATTTATGTTTGGGTCAACAACAATACGACGGTCGACTTCATCTCAAGCTATACAACAATAAGCCGGCCCGAAAGCCCCACAACAATGAGATGAGAAATACGTTTATCGAACTGGGCTCGAACCAAATTAATCTGCGATTTGGGTTTCTTCTTCGCTTCTCTCTCTTAAGAAGCCCACAAAAAGTTATGAATCTGAGGCGAGAGAGAAATGCAAATACGATTTCGCTGCCGCATCAAAAAGAAAATATGTATATACACCTATTATTGTTGTTGTTGTTTTAGGGTATGTTGCTGTTGTTTGTGTTTTTCTAGACGCTTGCACTCTTATTCACAATAGTTAAACACACACAATTAGCACTTTTTATTAGCTCAACTCGGTTTTGATCGACTGCCTGCCCGTGGGACGCGCCCAGCTTGCAACGAGTTGCTGCTGCTGCCGTTGCTGTTGCTGCTGCTGCTGTTGTCGTGATTTATGTTGCTGTTGCTGTTGCTCTTGCTTTGGCTGAGATCGCGCTCACGTCTGTTCGGCTGAAACTCACGTTGCAGACTGAATGAAGTTGGCCAACTTTATGAACTGAATGAGTAGCTGCCGCTGCTGCTGTCGCTGCTGTTGCCACTTGTTGTTGCTGCTATGTATACTCTGTTCACAGCGTGAAGTAAGGTATATGGCTGAGCGTAGGCTAGTCTGGCTGGTGGCTGGCTAGAAATTGTTCGAAATGTATGCTATAGCATATATAATGCTATAGCTTACCCAACTATGTGCATTATCTATATATTAAACGACGGCTGTTTGAGATTAGAATGAAGACAAGTTTGAATAGCAAGAAAATTGTATGTTTAAAGCTAGTGATAAATATACATTTATAATTATAAATACTTCTTCTAGTTCAGTCTAGGGCAGTTCCTTTGAAGTGCGAATATACTCTTCTTGTTCTTAACAGGGTATTCTGCAATCACAGCTTCTAATAAGAATAATAGAGTGCCTTTATCAAAGAGCAGATTACTATGCTCAGTTGTTTATGAGTGCGGGTATGCTCTACTCTACTCTAAAACAGAGTATTGTGCAGTCAAGTGCATCAATTGCGCCGTCTGCTGCTGCTCGCTTTGCATTGTTGCTGGTTTAGATGTGGGCATGTTGTTGCTGTTGTTGGTGGTGTCGCTGCTGTCGCCTGTTGTTGTCTTTGATTGAAATTGTCGCTTAATCTCAATTTGGACACATTTGCTGAGAGCTAGATGAATTTTGCCATGACTAAACGGTGGCAACAAGTGCAGCAAACAATGCGGGCCAGCTGCAAAAATTTGAAGTTTCCAATTCCCCAACCAGTTCGCAATCTATTAACTTATGCAGTCAATGCCAATGTCAGCCAACAACAACAACATCTAGTGAAGTCCTGCCCGCCAATGGCAACTTAAACTAGATCCCGCCTAAAAAAACATCGAAACATCGAGCCATGTAGGAGAAACGCGTTAACGACGACGACGACGACGACGGGACAGACTCGCCTGCCCATATTTTAATTGAAATTGCATAATGAGACGCAGTCGAAGTCTTTATAGATACCGTAGTAGGTACTTTTCATATCGGACAACTCGTTTTGGCGCAAGGAAAGAAAATAACATCTTGTAAGTCAAATTACTTTTAAATTAATTCAAATTAACCAACGTCTACGAGAAGCTTTGACAGGATCTCAGAGACTATAATTATGCCGTGTTATTCAATGCGCTGGAAAGTATATTGGCTTCCCTCTTCGCTGTGTGCTGTTCAAGTTAGTCTCTAGAGTTACAAGCACCCCTAGATTTCGGAGAGCTATTTCTCTCTATATATATGTACATGATATATAAGATGGACTAAGCGTTTCATTTGCTCAAAACGTTTTTAATTTTACATTTGTTCTTGATTAAAATAGTAACAAGAGCTAGATGCTGGCTAATTAATTAAAATAAACTGAAAGGCTCATCGCAGATATGATTCTTTGGAAAGGCATTGGATGCCAACAAGGAAAATAAAAATTATGTTACTCGTTATGCGACGATCATAAAAATAATTTAAGCAACCCGTTTAACATAGTGATTTACTTTTATGCAGAATTATCGCAACGGAGAAAGAAATGCATTTATGTCTTGTCAGGCAGACGCGACTCTCTCGGTAGATGGTAGTTCCGGCTCTTCCCATTGTGGTCGCAGCCGTATGCCGCATCTATTGGTTCATCTATTGGTAGCGTGACAATTTGGGCAGTGGGGCAAAGGCAGATGCAATCAATGGCGCATTTTTCGATGCTTGCGAGCTAAAATCAGAGACCAAAGAGGGGGAGATGATGTCAGCATGAATCTTAACTGCTTGCTGAATTCTACATACCGCCAGAAGAGGGAGCTGCCGCGTTTCAGCTCTTTGCGTCCCTGCAAGTCGTTCCAACAGTCCACCCAGTGTTTGTAGCTAGGCATTATTGGCGGTTGGCCGGCCATAAGGCGTGAGCCGCTGACTGCGGAGCATGTCGACACCACTTGCAGTGGGTACAGTAGACTGGAAAACATGAACTGCACGAAGCCCGCATTGTACTGCCGAGCCAGCTTGTCCTTGATGAAGTATTTGTTCACAACGAAAACTGTGGAGCTGGATAGCACTAGACAGGCTACGTCGCACAGCAGTTTGGGGATCAGGCCAGAAAAGAAGCCCAGTATGCCTTCGGTCCTCCAGATTTCGCCAATCGAGCCCAATATCGAGTTGTATAGAGTCTCGCGACCCACAAACTGTGCCATCATGCGCAAGGAAATCACATGGAAAGGATGTGCGACAATAATCCCGCTGACCGTCAATACAATGTCGCGCTTCAGATTGTACTTGAATTGCATGTAGCTGGCAGGGAAGAAGACAATGATGATGACATTTAATTCATTATAAAGTGGAGAGCTATACTCACTTCTCCTCTTCGGTCAGCTCGGACTCGTCCTTATCTTCACGTTGGGTTAGTTCCAGCTTCTCCGCACAACGCTCACTAATAACCATGCTCAAGACGGACCCAACCAATTTGGGGGCCAGACCGCGATAACATCCGTAAAAGCCATCCACCCTCTTGATATGACCAGCTATTATTGTTTTTGTGATATAAGCGAAAGAGCAGAGATCGAAGTGCGATTTGAAATGCCGGCCGGTGGCAGGTGTTATGCGATTTACTTACCGTACTGAAATATGTTTGGCAAGACCATAATGGGTTTGCCCATCATGGACTTACCCGGTCTCGCGGCTATGGGCTCATACCCAATCTGTATCAGTGTCTTTGAGTATTCAAAAGGATGTAGTGCAGCGCTAGCACCAAGGCGCAAGCCGAACCGAATCCAGGAATTGACCTCGGTCTCCTCATTTCGGGTGTAATCAACGTAGTTAGCCATTGTCGACCTGATCCTGATGGAATATTGACAATAATTGATCTGCGCGAGTATGAAAATGTTAACCGGTCGGCCGAAATGTTTGCACGTCTGCCCTTTTTCGCTTTAATTCAGGTTACAAAACTGACAAGGCGTAAATATCGATATCTGACGAGTACTACGATGTCTCTCAGTTTCAACTATCGACTAGTCGTTTTTGACTGCTGTCTATCGCTCCAAAAATCATATGATAACAGCTGAACTGGCCATTGAACGATGAATCGATAGCAAAACATATGTTTCCGTCTTTTCGATTGCAACAATGCATAGGTATTTACTCAATATTTCCTACATTGGCACGAGATTTCGGTAAGTACTTGGAAAGATGAAACAGAAAGTGTATAACATCCAAATGATCGTACAGTGGTATCCAAAAGACGATAAATAAGTTGGAAGAATCACGTGTAGACACTAATTCAGTGCAAGGCTGCTTGGAGTTGGCATTGCGCGTTTTTCGTCCCGTCAACGAAATCCAAACCGTCCTGTCCAGTCGGTAGGTACATAAATTAAATAATATTCAACAGTGATTTGTAATGGGATCTATTTTTAGCACAGATGCCGGCGTACACGCCCTGCACTCGACTGTCCACGTCGATTTGGAACGCAATGATGGCAAATGCTATGATACGACGATACTGACGGGCGTGCTCAATCGCACCCTGGACAAACAGAGCCTGCCCATACGTGTGCTGAGCACCCAGCGAGTGGCAGACACCTTCCATTGTCGCTACCACGCCATCGGGCGCACCTATTTGTACCGCGTAGCGGTGTCCAAGCAGAAAACAACTGTCCTGCCAGATGCAAAGAGCAGCAGCTTAAGAAACAGAGCCTTTGAAGCATTTTTACCCGTTGAGGAGTGGGACAGGTGCTACTTTCTGCAGTAAGCAAGTTGTTGGTTATTCAAGTGCAACTCCGTTGAGTCTCTCCTCTTTCCAGAAACAACAATTTCGATATTGAGCGCTTAATTGCCGCCTCGCGCATGCTCATTGGAGTCCACGACTATCGCACCTTTATGAGCGTCAGTCGACAAAAGAGTCCCAGCCGGGATCATCCCATGTTCACAGTGCGCAAAATCGATGAGATCAATATACGTCCTGGTCGAAGCCTTGCACTGGGCCCGAACGCAACGTTGGCAACAGAAAACTACGACTATTGGGACATAGAGATCAAGGCCAAGTCCTTTCTGTACAAACAGGTGCGACGCATTGTGGGCACGCTGCTGGCGCTGGCCGAGGGTCGAATCGACGAACGGTGCATCTACCAAATGCTAACGATACCATCCAAGCACAGCTGGGATCATCGCATACAACTTGCACCTGCGTGCGGTCTTTACTTGTGCCGTGTTCACTATAGAGACACGGCCTTCGAGCTTCCAGACGAAACTAAAGCTTAAGATGATTTTGCTCTATGAGCTGCAGAAGCGTTTGGCCAATCTAAGGCCAACCACCACGATTGTAACCACAGCCACCGGCGCCCGTTATGTCGAACGGCGCAGATCATCCACCGACGAAGATCTTCCGGAGCAACTAGAAGCACGCCAGTATGGTTTCGTCGTCGACTCAAAGCCTGATGCAGTTCCTGCGTGCATCCTAAGTGAATTTCTCTACTTGGGGTCTCAGGACGCCGTCAGCTCAGAAAACGTATTGAAGTACAATCTAACGCACATCTTAAGCGTAGGCATTGAAACACCCAATGTCGAATTGCCGCCCACAGTTAAGTGCAAGCATTTGCCCTGCCTCGATGTGCCCGAGACCAACATTCTGCAGTACGTGTTGCCCGTCGCTATTGACTTTATAGAAGAGGCGCGGGCTGCGAAGGGCTGCGTCCTGGTCCATTGCAATGCGGGTGTATCACGCTCTGCATCAGTGGTCATTGGCTATCTGATGAAGCGGCGGGATATGCGCTTTGAGGAGGCATACAATTTGGTTAAATCGTGGCGGCCTTGTATACAACCGAACGCCGGATTCATGCAGCAGTTGAAAAAATTTCATAAAGCATAGTTTAATATGAACTAACAATAGCCAGTAACGCCATATTTGTGTTATTAATAAAGTGTATAATTATGATCCAAAACTAAAATGGTCAGACTTCCCCATTAGGGTGCACTCAGATTGCGGTAAATTTGAACTGGGATTTCAAAGCAAATATCGCTGATACTCAAATTAGCAGGAAATAGCTATCGATCAGCTATCGATTGATTCTCCAGTTTATTGCAGCCCTGCCACTCAGCTGTGTGACTGTGGCTATAAAAACAATAAGAATGGGCAAATTAAAAACTGCATTTGTTTTGCTGGCCATTTTTAGTCACCAAGTCAATGCCGACTGCGGATGCAACAAGTTAGACAGAGATGCTAGCGTTGCGGAACGAGTTGATGAGCTGCCGGCGCAACAGGTGTGCCAGCAACAGGCGCGAAATAAAAACAAACATTATCGAGACTATTACCCCGAAGAGACAGAGGAGGAAATCGAGGGAATGTCCCTCATACCAGGTGGAAGTCAGTATATTGGCACAGATGAGCCTCATTTTATGGCTGATCACGAATCGCCAGAGCGTCTGGTAAAGTTAAATGATTTCTATTTGGACAAATACGAAGTATCGAATGCGAATTTCGCTAAATTCGTGGAAGCTACAAACTATACGACCGAAGCGGAACGGTTTGGCGATAGCTTCATATTCAAGACACTGCTCAAGCCAGAGCAGCAGGAAAAGTTGAAGGATTACCGTGTTGCCAACGCGGTCTGGTGGTACAAAGTCAGCGGCGTTAGCTGGCGTCGTCCCAATGGCATAGACAGCAATCTAGAAGGTGAGCTTTCCACCGACAGAAAACACTATATAAAAGATTTCCTTTCTAGGCCTGGAGCATCACCCAGTTGTGCACGTTAGCTGGCGCGACGCCGTTGCCTATTGTGAATGGGCGGGCAAAAGATTGCCTAGCGAAGCAGAGTGGGAGGTTGCTTGCCGTGGCGGCAAGCAGCGGAAGCTCTTTCCCTGGGGCAACAAACTTATGCCTAAGGACAAGCACTGGCTGAACATATGGCAAGGTGACTTTCCCGATGGCAACACCGAGGAGGATGGCTATCCATTCACTTGCCCCGTTGATCAATTCCGTCAAAACAACTACGATCTGTATAACATTGTCGGCAACGTCTGGGAATGGACCGCGGATCTGTGGCAGGCCGGCGACACCAGCCCAAGTCCCAATCGTGTGAAGAAGGGCGGCTCCTACCTGTGCCACAAGTCCTATTGTTATCGCTATCGCTGCGCTGCACGCTCCCAAAACACTGAAGACAGTTCGGCCGGCAATTTGGGATTTCGCTGCGCCAAGGATGTGTAGAAAAGGAATTTCTGAATTTGATCCCACATCTGTATAACTATGTGAAAAATATCATAAGTTTTATTTAGCTTAGATGGTAACATATGCCATACCAATCTCAATGTATATATATCTTTTGTAGTTATGGTCCATATAGGAATTCTGTATGGAATATAGCGTATACGAATCTTCATTCCTAAACTTCATAATTGACAACTTTCCAAAACAGATTTTTCAAATTATTTAATATCTTTTATGAATTAGTTCATACATTTAAATATGCTGCAAAGCTAGTATAATGCACATTTGGTAGCAGTTTCAATAAGTACTCCACGTAGTGGAAATTTGGTATGCTAAACGGCAGTTAAACTGTCCAATCGCTTAACGAAACGAGTTCCAGTTAACATTTCGCACTGGCTGGCCTTCAGGTGCATTACATGCAGCTGTTTCGTTGGTAACCGTTTGCCTGCGTTTCTTACGTTGCATATTCATCCGAGTGCGACGTCGCTTCTCCAAGATAGCCTCGTTCTTGCGGGGTGGTGGCTTTGGCTGATATGGCAAAGGTACGTTATTCCACCGGCTATAAAGATAAACCAAGCACACTCGATATATCTATGTACATATCTGTGATGTATAACAACGATTCAATAGATACCTTCGCCGGCAAATGGAGCACGTGCCATTCTCGGGATTGCTGTGCTTCTCCCAAAAGACGTCGTGAACGAGAGCGCCACACCAGGCCTTGGAATGCAGATATATGAAGAACTTTCTCGACGAGTATTTAGAATCTTGTGCACACAACTGGGCATGGCGTAGCCAGCCACTTCTCTGTATGCGTACCAGGCCACAGCGATAGCAATGCGTCCATCTCTGTATATCTGCTATGGATACCCAGTGCGGTTTCATTTTTGGCTTGATATCGACATCGGCAGTGTCTTCCTCTACTTCTTCTACTGGTTGCTGCGCAGGCTCATCGTCATCGATGAGATTTATAGTCTCATTATCTGAATGACTGTTGTTGTTCTGCTCCAAAATCTCGTGCAGCTGTGGCGCCTCATCACAATGTCTATGCTTCGACTGGACCGGCGACTCGTGTCCATTAATATGATTGCTTTCCTCAATGGGCATGGCACGCAGCGGAAGCAGGGGCGTGGTATTTGGAAACGGGGGCCACGGCTCCGTGTAGACAAAAACATGCAGTGCTCCGCCAATGCAGGGACCATGTGTTTCGTTTGGCTCTAGGTCATGGCGCATATTACAATTGATGCATTTCTTGCGCGGAGGCTGAGCACAACAAAAACAATGGTACTCTTGGGATCCGGAATTGGTCAGGCATATTGTTGAGTTGATGTTTTCAGTATCTCGCATGCCACATTTGCAGCAAACGCACTGCATGATGGCCCTACTGCAGCCAAACAGCAAACGGCAGCAATAAAATCTTAGAACTGCGCAAAACACTTGTTAGATCCAAATACGCACTCACTGTATAACCGACAAAAATGAAGAAGAAGAGCTCCTTCCGTTGTCGCCATAAATAAATAGTCAAGTCGAGTTGTTAGGCTTAATGTATGATAATTTTGCGAATTGACTCAACTAAGTTTGTGCAATGTACACAAATTAAACTTTGTTTTATCTTGTTCTGCTCTTCCCACGCTATCTGAGTAAGCAGGGAATGGAATTGGAAAAACCCAAACAAAAGCAGTGAAATACATATCGTTTGAGCTATCGATAGTTAAAAGAAATGAATGACAAGACGAAAGAAGAAGCATAAGTTGCTTGGCGCCATAAGCAAAATTAAAATTTTCTTCTATAAAAATTGGTGTTGCTTCAAATATTATTTTAGCAATTTGCATATTTACTACACTCTAGCTTTACCAACTTTATATGTGTTAACTGCGTATTGAAAAATGCAAATAATTTTTGTTGAAGTATCGCATTTAGTATCGATATTTCAGCGCGCTTCCTTCGACTGATATCAAACAAATAGTTTTCGGTTAATTTTAAATTTGAATGAGATTGCAGCATTCTTTTCTTCCGCATAGAAAATACAAGTGGTTTATAATGTATATTATTTTTATTATTATTACTTTATAGTCGTGCTTACTTTTGATATTACTATTTATTAAATACAATAGTTGGTATGGCTAATGCATAATTTTTCTTGTATATTGCTGACTATTGCCTTGCACAAACGAAAATGTTTATTGCAAATCTTACAGATTTTGACTATGTATGGATATAGATATATATATGTAAGTATGTATGCTAATTATGATCGATTATAGTTATGTAAATGTAAATGCATTAAAGCAATTTCTACGATATACATTCACAAAATTGATCTGCTGAAATGCTTCACTGATACAACACTTGAAATACAAATGTACAAAAAACAAAAACTACAATTATAATCGCTATATACAGAGACTTCAATTAAAACTAAAACCTACAGGCTAAAAATAAATATAACTTAAGTCATAATCGTAATCGTAATCGTAGTTTAATATGTATGTATTATCGTATTATATATACATATGCATGCAGCCGTATATATATATATATATAATATATATGGGGAGATCGTGGCAACGATCTGTGGTAGCTCTGTGCATTTTCTGAAAATATCACAATGCAAATCATATATCGAGTATCGATGCGTGCTGGGATATGCCAATTCAGATAAGCCGTAAGGAACATTTGCCAGCTGCCAGCCTGGAAGACTTTGTAAGCCCAGTCGCGCTCGCCTCTTTAGGATCCATCGGCCGCCGACAATTTGACGGCCTGCAGCATAACGGTTTTCAGTTCACGCGCCAAGTTATTGATGTGCACCACCGAATCAACCATTTCCTGGACCGCACTGCCACTTGGAAAATGCGCCGCCGCCTTCTTCGATTTCAGCACGCAAGTCTTCAATGCGTCCGACAGGGCATTGGTGCAGTGGAGGATTTTCTCGCGCAGCGCCTCCTTGGAGATATTGCGATGCACGTTGTCGCCGATGGTCACCAGGTTGTGGGCACTGACGACTACAAACTTGCCATAGGCTATGAAATACTTCGGCGGTTGATTCTTCTCGACGGTCTCCAAGAAGGAGTCGATGGCGCGCAGGAGATTCGCCATGTGTGTGGAAATCTGCTGAGCGTAGTAGCGCACCACCTTCTTATCTTTGTCCGTCAGCTCCGGTGACCTATTGGGCTGGGGCACGCTGGCTGTGGGCGTGGTCGGCACCGTTGGCGTGTTGCCCATGGCTGTGGACTCGGCGATCTTCAAAGCGCAATCGAATTGGGTTTTCATTCCGGCGGGTATAGCGTCTCTCAGTGCTTGATTCTTCTTGGCCGCCGCGTCCTTGGACTCGAAGGCCACGTAGTCGTAGTCCTCCAGCCACTCGGCACTGCCCCGCCCACCAGCAACGTGGCTCTCACCACCATTCTGGCTGTTGAGCAGTTGATCCGCCGGCAGCTGTCGCTTGAACAGCAGCGAGGCATTGCCCTGGATGAAGCTGGTGGTGGAGCGCACGTCCTCGGTGAGCGTCTGGGCGCAGGCGATCAGCTGATCCAGACTATCTGGCGGCCGGCAGCCGTGCTTGTCATCGCTGCGCGCCAGCTGCTCCACTGACCAGCCGCCCTGTCCGTCCAGAGCCTCCGAGGAGTCCTGTATCAGCTTGTTGGCATCGCGCAGCGCACGCACCAAAGGCCTCAGCTTCAAGGCCAAATTGCGATCCTCTGAGTTCTGGGCATTACCCAATGCTCCCTCACCGAACTCGGTCAGATCGTGCAGAGCTGTGCGCAGACGCAGTGCAGCCAGCTTCAGTTCCATTATGTGTTTCTCCAGCTGCTCGGGCGTGCGCCAGTGCGGCACCACGAAGCTGAGCAGACGCGTAATGGCCATCGTTGTCTCCGACTGCAGCTTGGCCAGCGTTTCCAGTGCCGAGTTCAGCTCCAGGGGCAGCTCCTTCACTGCGCTCACCTGGCTGCCGTTGCTCGCGTTGCTCACGTTGCTCGTCTGCTCCTGCAGCGGCGGCAGAGAGAACTCATGGCTGGCGGAGGCGAGCGGGCGCTGAACTGGCCGCACGGGCAGCGGATGACGACGCGGTATATCGTAGTCGGGCATATTTGCCAGCGAGCTGCGATTGGAGCTGGAGAAGCTCAACGACAAGCTATCGCTGGTTAGCAAAGACGAAGCCGAGCTACTGGGCGTCAATGTATGCTGTTGCTGCTGCTGCTGCTGTTGCTGTGATAGCAGCAGTGGGCGTGGCACGTCGTAGGACTCCTCTTCGACGCTCTTCAGCGAATCGAAGCGTGCGCCCAGAGCCGAGCCCGTCGTGGGCGTGCGCACGCCCACTGCCCGACCGCCGTCGTAATTGAATTGCACAGGCGTCGCCGGCTTGGGTATATCGTAAGTCTCGAACTCGCTGCCATTGCCCATCGACCCGTTGCCCATCATCATGCTTAGATTCTGATAGATGCTCTGATTGCTGTAGATCTGCTGCGTATTCGGATTCGGTGAACGCGACGCTCCCCCACACAGTGTACCAGGAAAACAGTTGTAGATGTACTCATCCCCGTGCCGCTGGGGCGTTATGACCTGGACAAGGAGAGAGAACGAGAGGGGAATATCGATTAGAGTATATCGCATATGGATTGCAGAAAATTATTAATAATTATATAATTATTTACTTTAGTTATATACAATATTTATATTGTTTTATAATAACAGTCGTGCATATATTTGTGGCCGTGGCTGTGCCTGTGCCTGAGTCAAATCACTCAAAACATGCGACAGACGACTGCCATGCCCACACGCGCCCCATCCACGCCCCTTACTACGACTACGACTGACTTATCGATTTTCACAGTTGTTATTGTAACCTGCCTTTTCTTAGGCTTTTCATGAATGAAAACTTTTACAGATTAGCTGATGAGTCACACCTGTGCAGTCCTGCGCTGCTGCTGCTGCTGCTGCTGCTGCTGCTGCTCCTGGTGGAAGTCCAAAGACAATTATCACATTTTGTTAACAATCAAATGCCAATTAATAGAGAATCAGCAGAAGCAAAAGGAGAGAATCGAGAAAAACTTCACTGTTCAGTGGCCAAAGGACGACTGCGAAACGAGCTCGCACATAAAAATGCAGCTGAAGCTAAGAATACTGGGAAATAGTAAGGCGCAGGCGCAGAACAAGACAGCGCGAAAAATATCCCTGGGCTCAAAAATATCCCTTCTGGTGGCGCTGCTGCTGCAGTTCAATGCCGTTCACTGTCAAGGTAAGGCCAAATGAACCCTTAAGAAAATACAGGGTATATACTGCAGGCCATGTAAACTCTATAGCTGAAAGGGCTTTGCTCCCCCCTCCGACCATATGTTCGATTGGTGAAACATAATCGAAATGCAATAATAAATTACAGCATATGCCAAATTCATCAGCAGCCAGCCGACGCTACCCTGCATAATGAGACGCGCCACGCCCACTGCCAAAGCAGTAGGCAGCGCATTGAATCGATTGCCAATTAGGTAAACCATGAAACGACCCAACCCCTAGGCTACCTGAGGTCCACTTCAGCTGCCAGTTGTGCAACCTTTGTCCGTGAAGTGTCGGTTGACGCGTAACACGAGTCCCTGTTTGGCAATGCGCCGATCCTTGAACCAGCTGCCACACACACGCACACACACACGCACACACGCAAAGAGCTCTTATCAACAATATCAGCGCTGATTGTCTTTGAAGTTAAATAACTGCAAATGGAACCAGTTCAGTCGGCCATTTGTCTTAGCCAACAAAAGAATGATTCTATCTATTTATTGGGCTTGGCCTGAACTAGTTCTGAAATGGCACACCAAACAGCAGGAGGCGCGGCCTGTAGCTGACTTCAAGGAGCCCAATTTCCACGTTACTTTTCCTGCTGATTCTCCTGCTGTCTTTTCCCGGTCGTCGTCTACTTTTGTTGTTGTTGGTTTTTGGCCCAATTTTGTTCTGTGCTGATGGATCTAGGTAGCATTTTGAGAGATCTATATATTTATGGCACATTTGAGGCAATTTTTGCAATGACCAAGATGACCGCCAGGGGGCGCAGCAATTTCATCGAAAATTGGCAAGAACAAAGCCGTTTTGCTTACGGTCATAGTCTTTATAAAGTAAACCAAAATTAAATTTAGGGTATATTGGCTATGTGTAAATGTAGTTAAGAGGCAGAAGAAGGCGTGGCAGGTCCCGTAATGTATATATGTATTTTATTTATGATGGCTGTGCATCCGCATGAATATGAATATTCCTGACAGCCATTTGCAGAGATTATCACTTTTCTCAAGAATTCTTTCCATTCCGCTACCGTCAAGAATTTAATGCAGCCTAGGATGTCTGGAATACCGGAGGTGCACAGGGTTCAGGGTATCTCCTAGTCGGACTGGAGTGCTCCTGCTTGCCTTTAAATGGGATTTTGATAGTTGAACGTTAAAATTCACAGCACGATCGCGCGGAGATTTCTGTCTGTCTGTTGTTGTTGTAGCCTATTTTGATAGTTTGTTGTTTTCTTCTTTTGGGAAAATCTGAAATCTTTTGTAGCTGTCACAACATTCGCTGCGTGGTCTTTGTGTTTTTATTGATGGCCCTGTTGAAATTCTGTACAGTAGCTGTTAAAGATTTGTATCTTTGCAGCTCAT